CGAAATTGAGGAGGGGAGAGTGAGACAGGTTCCTGCAGGCGGCGCTGAGGAGTTGCGGCGGCGCAGCGGCCGCGTCGTAGATATGAGTGAGAAACAAAGGGAAGTCGTAGAGAAAGTCATGGACAGGATGATCGCTGAGTGTCAGGAAGACGAGCGTACAATCGGCAGTTCGGAGCCCTTTGCGTTGGATGCTGTGCGGAGGCCCAGGCACAGGGAAGAGCTTTGTGGTCGAGACCTTACGGAAACACGTCTTAGAAGGAGTCATGGGTTGGGGGCACGGTCTGGACTTCCAAGTGGTTGCGTTACAAGCCACGAACGCGTCCATTCTGGATGGGCACACGTTGCACGCCGCGTTTGGGATGACTCCGCACGGCGCCAGCACGGAATCCGGTAAGAAGTTCGGAGAGCCAGGTGCAAAGAAAGTAGAGGCAGCGAAGCGAATTCAGCAGTGGCGTTGGCTCATCATCGACGAAATCAGCATGGTCAGTGCAAATTTTCTTGCAGAGCTGGATGCGCACTTGAGGCCCGTGATGTCGGCAGCGAGGCAAGGGGAGGTGGGTGCCGACAAGGTAGACCGTCCTTTTGGAGGTGTCAATATGTTATCCCGCGGAGATTTCTACCAATTGGAACCCCCTGGCGGAACTCCATTGAATGCAATTCCGACGTCATGGGCACGGAAGGCGAGGCAGTATGCGCCAGGCGCCGAAGAAGATCATGGTCAGTACATCTTCTGGGGCGAGGGGCCAGGGTCCGTGGCGGGAATGACGGAATTGGTAGAGTGCAAGCGTTTGGAAGAGAAGGACGAGTGGTTCCTGGCAGTACAAGACGAGTGCCGACGGGGAGCCCTGACCGAAAGGACGCACTAGTTTCTGCATGGGAAACCTACAGACGTTCCAGGGTCTTGGTTACATGTCCAGCCGATGTGTGGTTCGCTATCCTGCATGCAGAACGTGGCGTCTATCGCAAAGGACAACGGGCTGGAGTGTGGACGGTTTGCAGAGGAAAGAAAGCGTCGATCTCTCGTAGCCACCAGTGCCGCAGACGAACGGTTCGCACTTCCACAATTCGTCGAAGCATGCGAAGTGCAAGGTGGCGCGGCAGCGGGCCGTGGACTGGGCTGCGTGCCGGAAGAAACCGGTTTCGTAGGTTTATGCGCGGGATAAGGCCACGCACGCCACGTACCAGGAAAGGCCGCACACCTCAGCAGACAAAGTGCGGTGGCTCGGATACCACGACAAGGCCTGTGCAGACATGCCAGGATGGTTTCCGCTTGCCGTGGGCACGCCAGTTGTACTGACGGACCATTTGGACAGATCAGAGAAGCAACTGCTACGAGGGTGTCGCGCGACGATACATTCATGGGTGGTAGATGAAGAAGAAGAAGACGTGCAGGACGTGTCGTCGAGGGTCCTGCGTAAGATGCCATGGCAAATCGTGTTGGACTTCCACGCCAGGAAGTGGACGCTGAAAGTGATGCCGGGGCCCGGGTTGTATCCCATAGCCCCTCGTGCTCGGACGTGGCATCTGGACTCGTATCGAAAGAAGCCCGCGCGGGGAGTGCGACGGAGACAGTTTATAATTTCTCCTGGGCTGGCGTGCACGGCGCGCGCAGCGCAAGGGCGAACGCTCGACGCGGCAATAGCGGACTTGGAGGAAGGCAGAAACGTGAGCTGGATGTCGAGCTACGCGGCCATAACGCGCGTGCAGACTCGACAGGGCCTGCTCATATATCGGCCATTTTCGAGACAGCCGCACACGCAGGGAGACTTGGAGGGCACGAGGTCGTTGTTACCGAAGCTGCGGGGAGAAGCGTCGCCGTGGCCCGACATCGAGGAGAGGTTGACGCCGCGGAAAACATGCGGGAAGTGTCGCAAGGTGAAGGAGAATACTGAATTCAGCACGACGGAGTTCGGCGCGAAGTCGGGGCCGAGCTTCTGCTGCGAGTGCACGAAGATGTTGAAGGAGCAGGGGAGAAGTGGTGCACGACTTGTGACCTATGGGCCGAGATGGTCTCCAGAGTGGCGGAGGCCGAACCCGAAAGGAGCAGAGTGTTCGTGCGGACAAGCAAATGCGACAGGCGCGCAGGCCCACCATCCCGGAGGAAGTCGCGGAAAGAGTCTCTCTAGTGGCAGGAGAATGTACAAGACAAATTCAAGATCCGTTGCGCGGACTGTTGTGAATTCCTTAAGACAGAGGCAGACATTACGGCGAATCAGCACGCGACGCAGGGCGCAGGGGAGAAGCTCTGCAAGGAGTGCGCGGGGGGGGGGCTCTGCAATGGAACAAGTGGAATCAATCGCAGAAGGAAGCGAAGTGCATGAATGAAACGAACAGTGGTCGACGAGGCGCACGTCGGCAACAGCCGCTGAGGTGTTCGGCGCGCCCAAAAGACGCCGACGGAAGAGGGCGGGAGTTCACGGACGCGGGGCAATTGGCAACATCGCAAGTTAGGAAATATTATTTAACGGGCGCGAGCCATAGGCCAGTGAAATGCCGTGACTGCGAAACGAACCACAAGCGATCCCAGGTGTTCAGGTGTTCCGCGCGCCCGACAGAAGCAGATGCGAGAGGCCGAGAGTTCGCGGACAGGACGCATCTGACTGATGAGCAAGTGAAGCACTTCTGCTTGAAGGGCGCGGGCCATCGCCCAGTCATGTGCCGCACGTGCCAGGAAGAACGCAATCAGCCGCGAGTGCCCACGTGCTCCGCGCGCCCGAAAGAAGCAGATGGGAAAGGGCGACAATTCACGGAGACGACGCATCTGACAGATGAGCAAGTGAAGCACTTCTTCAAGAAGGGTTCGGGCCATCGCTCGGTGGTGCGCCGAGCGTGCCGCGAGCAAAGACAGGTAGCAAAGAGGTTGGAGTGCTCCGCATGCCCCCGGAAAACGGACGGATCCAAACCTACGTTCGCGGACGCCTGCCATCTGTCGAAAGACCAGAAGAAGCACTATTTCCTCCGAGGCACTCCTGTGGTGCGCGCCACGTGCTACAAGGCGGAACGGGCCCCTCGGAGGGAACCGCCGAAACGCCCGGCGGAGGCGATCGACGAGCTCGGCGGGAAACAACGCACGTTGCAGGGAATCTGACCGCGAGTCGCGCGCGCGCCGTCTTCGGGGATCTCTGGTGCCGTCGTCAGCCCCTCGTGTCCCGTCTGAACGCCCTCTTGGGCTGTTGAGAAGGCCCTCGTGGGGGATTCTTGGACGTCTTGGTGCGTTCTGCGGGGGCTCGGAACCCTCTTGGAACGCATCTCGGAAGCCCTGGGGGGGCCTCGCGGGGACCTCCTCTGCCGTCGAGGACGCCTCGTGGCCCGTCTTTGGGCCACCTGTAGACCATGTGGAGCTCGTGGGCCCCTCGGACCGCTCCTCGAGCGCTCTTGGGACCGTTTTCGGAGCCCTCTTGGGCCGTCTTGGACGCCTGCTAGCCCGCCTTGGGGCCCAGGGGTATGTGGGAGTCCCTGTTGGAGGCTACTGGAACCGTCTGGGAGCGGGTTTGGAGACCTCGTGGGCCGTCGGATGCATCGGAGAGGCCCAAAGCCGCATTCGTGAAAACAAACCATTTCACGAAGGGAATGGGCCAATGTGTCCGTCTCGGAACCCTCTTGGAACGCTTCTCGGCCCTCGGGGGGGCTCGTGGGGACCTCTTCTGCCGTCGAGGACGCCTCGTGGCCCGTCTGTGGGCCACCCTGAGACTAGGTGAAGCTTGCGGGCCTCTCGGACCGCTCCTGGGTCGTTCTTGGGGCCGTTGTCGGGCCCTCTGGTGCCGTTTTGGACGCCTGTCAGCCCGTCTTGGGGCCCTCCAGGGGTATGTGGGATACCCTCTTGGAAGCTTCTTGGACCGTCTGGGAGTGGCTTTGGGCGCCTCTTGGGCCGTCGGAGGCATCGGGATGGGCCAAGGCCGAAGTTGTGGAAAACTTCCGTTTCACAAAGGGAATGGGCCAATTTTTCCGTTTCGGAACCCTCTGGGAACGCATGTCGGAAGCTGTGGGGGGGGGGGGCGTGGGGACCTTCTGCCGTCGAGGGCGCCTCCGAGCCCGTTTTGGAACCACCTGGAGCCCATGTGGAGCTTGGGGGCCTCTCGGACTGCTCTTGGAGCGCCCTTGGAACCGTTTTCGGAGCCCTCGGAGACCGTCGTGGACGCCTCTGAGCCCGTCTTGGGGCCCTCCAGGGGTATGCGGGCAACCCTCTGGGAAGCTTCTGGGACCGTCTGGGACTGGGTTGGGGGGCCTCGTGGGCCGTCGGATGCATCGGAAAGGCCCAAAGCCAATTTTATGAAAAATGTGCGTTTCACGAAGGGAATGGGCCAATTTCTCCGTCCGGGAACCCTTTGGAAACGCATCTCGGAGCCCCTCTGGGGGGCTCGTGGGGACCTCTTCTGCCGTGGAGGACGCCTCGTGGCCCGTCTTGGGGCCGCCCGGAGACCATGTGGAGCTTGGGGCCCTCTCGGACTGCTCTTGGAGCGCCCTTGGAACCGTCTTCGGAGCCCTCTGAGGCCGTCGTGGACGCCTCTGAGCCCGTCTCGGGGCCCTCCAGGGGTATGGGGGCAACCCTCTGGGAAGCTTCTGGGACCGTTTGGGACTGGGTTGGGGGGCCTCGCGGGCCGTCGGATGCATCGGAAAGGCCCAAAACCGAATTGACGACAAATGTGCGATTCACGAAAGGAATGGGCTAACTTTTTCCGTCTCGGAACCTTTTGGAAACCCATTTCGGAGGCCCTCGGGGGGGCTCGCGGGGACCTCCTTGTGCCATCCAGGACGCCTCGTTGCCCGTCTGTGGGCCACCGTGAGCGTCGTGGACCGCTCGTTGGGGATCCAGAACCATGTCGAGGCCACCACAGGAGTCCCCGCACGATTTCCATGTGTTTTTCCACTATTTTAGGGACGGATGGCCCCTCTGGCCCCGCCCGGCCCTTTCCGGACCCCCCCTCCCAAATCGACCGGACCGGGCCCCCGGGGGAGGGGTTTGGGGAGGGGGGGCATTTCACGCGCCGACGAACCCCAAGGGGTCGGCGGATTCGTTTGTTGTCGGGCTGCCTTTCCGAACAAGGAAGGAAGAGTTCAGGCGGGACATCCAGGCTTGAGCCGCGCCCCCTGGACTCTTGATTCTCTGTTGCACTTCGGACTCCTCTCTATCGAAGACGCCTACGGCGAATCACCGCCGCCCCCTGCCTTTGTGGAAGCGCCTAAGTGGCCGAACGTTGAGGCCAGACCTGCCAAGCCATCGGACCATGTGTTCCCCGAATCGGTTTGGAAAGTCTTCGGGGAACACGTGGGCATCGTGAAGGTCATCTTGGCCGTCTTGGAGGCCTCTTGGCCGATCTTTCGGCGATCTTTGGGGGTTCTTGGGCCGTCTCGGGCCGTCGGAAGGCCGAAAAGAAGGAAATGTCAAAATCCGTCAAAAACCTAAGGAAAATCTATGTTTTTTGACTCTTCTGGCCTTCCTGGATGCCCTCTTGGGGGCCTCTTGGGCCCTTTTGGGCCAGCTTCGAGCCAACTTCGGCCATCTTGGTGGGTTCCTGGCACGTCTGACGCCGTCGGGAGCCGTCTTGGGGGCCTTTCTGGGCCAACGGGGGACCCTCTTGGGGCGCTTCGGGGCCGTCTTGGAGGCCATCTAGGGCGTCTTGGAGGCCATCTTGGGCGTGTTGGAGGCCTCTTGGGCTGTCTTGGGGCCCTCGTGGGGCCATCTTGGAGGCCGCTTGGGCCGTCATGGGGCCCTCCTGGGGGCCTCTTGGGCGATCTTGGGGGCCTCTTGGGCCGTCTTGGGCCGTCGGAGAGCTGAAAAGAAGAACATGCCAAAATCCTTGAAAAACCTAAGGAAATCAATGATTTTAACCTGTTCGGGCCTTCCTGGAGGGCGTCTTGGAGGGCTCTTGGGCCGTCTTGGAGGCCTTTTGCGGGCCTTTTGGGCCGTCTTAGACCATCTTGAGGCCATCTTGGGCCGTCTTGGGTGCATCTTGGAGCCATCTTACCCGTCTTGGAGGCCATCTTGGCCGTTTTGGAAGCATCTTGGAGGCCATCTTGGGCCATCTTGGCCGTCTTGGATGCCATCTTGGGCCAAGTTGGGGCAACACAGGCATTGACAGACGGATTTTGGGAAAATTACGGGTGGCCGGCGGGACGGGCCGAACCCCTTTGGGGAGTTCTTTTAGAAAAAGAACCAAAACCAAAACCTGAAACATCCAGCACGCCGTGCACCCCTGCAAGCAGGGGGCGGCGGATCGAATGGCCTTCGGCCCATCCCGCCACTGAGCCTGGGTCGCGGGTGTGAAGCCTATTGAATGTTCGGCGGGATTTCGAGGGTGACCTTTAGGGGGCCTCTTGGATGCAGTTTTGTTGTTTCTTGGGGGCAGTTTTGGAGCCTCTTGGGGTCGCTGCTGGGTCCCTTGGGCGCCTCTTGGAGCTTCTTGGAGCCTCTTGAGTGCCTCTTGGTGCCTCCTGGGAGCCTCTTGGGGCGGAGCGCTCGGATGTTCGGTTGGTGTTCCCTCTCTCGGGCCACTATTGGGGCCGTTTTGGGGTCCTCTTGGGCCGTCTTGGGCGCCTCCTGGGCTTTCGAGGGCCGTCTTGGGGCCCTCTTGGAGGCCTCTTGGGCAGTCCTGGGGTGGTAGTGTTCTCACGTTGCTCGTGGTCTTTTTTGCAGCGTCCAGTGGCGTTTTGCCCCCCCCTCTCGAGCGATCCATGGGCCACCCTAGCTGCTTCCAGCCAGGGGGGTACTCTCCTCCTGCAGGCCCTTGGGTGGCTCGAACGAAAACGGCCCAGGGAAGCCCTCAGACGTAAGTCGGGCATGCTCCTCTACAGGAGGATTATTAAAAATAATCAAAAACTAGTATGGGACGATGTGTTTGAATATGTTTTGACCATTTGGGAGCATTGTTAGATTGTTTTTTCTTCCGCCCAAATTCTGCTTGTAGGGGGGCATGCCCGACCTAACCCAAGCAAGCACTTCAGACGCGCTACAGTGGAAACCCATGTCAAGAAACGCCCTGCTTGCCTCCAGAGTGCCCTGGGCCTTGTGGGCTTCGATGGTCCTGCTATGGAGAGCGAGCAGCGCATGTTTTCCCTGGTGATATCCTGGCACCGGTGCGCGTCATCCGAGAAGCTGATGGGCGCGCATTGCGTCTTCTGCGGGGTGCGTGCGAAGAGCCCGAAGCGCTGGAGATTCCGGGTCTGGAATTCGCGCCTACAGAGCTGCACGCGCATTGGTGGAGAGTGCGGGGTGACGCGGCGCCACTGCTGCGTGTTATGAGAGAGAAGTGGGCGCGTGAGTGGCGAGGGCGGAGTGTCGCGCGGAAAGAGTTGCTGGGCGCTCGCGACGCGGGCGATCGGCGCCGCGTGGTGGAAGACCGCACGGTGAAATTCATTGAGTTTTTGATGGGGGCGTTGGTATTCGAGGCAAAGACCGACGATGAACGAGCTGAGGACATGGCAGGATCAGGCCGCCGCGTTGGGCGTGGTCTTGGACACGGAATTGGCGCGCCCCTGGCGGACTCTATCTTTCAGCTCTTGGCCCGTTTGGGATGGTGTGAGCACTCGTTGGCGTCGGAGGAGGGGCGCCGTGTCGCTTGCGAAGCGTGCGTGGATGATCTGCGCACCGTCGGAGATGCATGGTTGGCGTTGGGGTCGCATGAGGGCGATCTCCGACACGGCGTCCATGCTGGCGAGGTCATGAGATTCGCGTTGGCCCGGCACGGCACGGCAGTGGTAGCGATGCCCTACCAGTTCATCCTGCGCACGTGCTCCCGCTTCGACGGGCTCCTGGAGGCGACCGGACTAGGAGTTTCCATGTCGTTTACCCGGTCAGAGCTCGAGGGGGAAGGGCCCATTCTCGGTGCGTGGCCGTGCGTGGAGGAGGCGCGCGCTGAGGACGAGGTTGCGGCACTCGAGGTATACAGTTGCACTGGGGCGGACACTGCGAGCACGACGCGCAAACCAGCGTGGCAAAGCGCGGAGCTGGAGTCGCCGGTGGCCGCGCCGGGCATGACGAGCGCCAAAGTCCGAAAGAGTAGCGGGGGCAGTGCGGAGCAGACCGAAGGCACCGAAGCCGACGCGAGGGCGAAGCGACCGCGGTTCACAGGGGAGACCAAGCCCGGTGACGCTGCAGCGCCGGGAGCCGGCGGCCCTGCCGACTCGGGCGGCGCATCGGTGGGAACGCGCGCCACGTCGGGCACCAGCGCTACACAGAAGGGCGACGGCGGTGACATGCAGACGCGCCCGTGCACGTGCACCGGGTCCGCGCTGCAAAAGTGCCCGACGACCCGCGACGGAAAGGGGGGGGATTTGGAAAGAGTCGCGACAGAGCACTTGAAGGACGCGCCAACGTTGCCAGCTGTCTCGGCGCACGGGGCCGCCCTGTGTGACGGAGTCCCGAACTCGGTCGGAGCAGTAGGATTGCCGAGGAAACGCTGCTCCTTCAAACGCGGGGTGGAGGACGGATGGAAGCCCTGCGCTTGGCATGGAGCTTTGGGCGCAGACCTGTGCGCGCACTTGCTGCAGGAGCATCGCGCGCAGCTCGAGGAAATCGCAACCTCGCTGGTTTGCGTTTCTGCCGAAGACGAGAAGAGCGAAGAGTTGCGCTACCTGTCGGCGCACAACGATGTCTTGGCATGGAAGGTGCGTCGAGGGGCTCCTCTCGCCGCATGTGCAATTGACCAGCGCTGTCTCCGTGCATATGCAGAAGGGTTGGGGGGGGGGGGGGGCAATGTGTTCTCTGGGTTGCATGGTGCGCGCGCGGAAATTGCCTCACGTGGAAGGGCGGCAGGGGAATCCAATTACGCGGCAGAAGGTGTCGCCGAATTTGGATGGCATCTTCGGACTGCCTGGCTCGTTCGTCAGAAAGCAGTTGTCTGTAGACAGTTATGTGGATCGATGCGGTCAGGCAGGAAGCGACGTGCATCTGCGGGATCGCGCGGAGGAGTGTTGAATGGGCCCGTGGAGGTGTTGTGTTGCCCCGAAGACCTGCGCTGCAGCGCGGAATCCTGGCGCGAAGGGAATGCGGTATGCGATCGTTGCGAGGCGCCGCTGCGCGAGGAATGCCGAACGGGTGTGACTGGGCCGAGAGGAGGAGCGGTCGTGCCACCTGCAGCTCTTGCTAATGGCATGATGACCTTCTACTCGCCGGAAGAGCTATCCGCAGGAAAAGTAACGTTGCTCGAGATGATCTGCGCGTCCGCGCGCGCGACTTCGATGGCGCGTTTCGCCCGGGAGGAGCGGCATCGAAACGAACGATCCTTGGACATGGAGGCGGGGAACAACGCGCGTCGGATGGCTGCTCGCGGGAGCGCGACGTCCTCTCCGATGCCGTGGACGGACATACTCGCGCAGCTGGGCGCCCTGGAGGACGGGCGTCGAAGGCGAGGCCGCCGTCGGCGCCGCGGACCGGTGCCGAAGTGGCGGACATAGCGTCGATGATTTTGAAGTCCGGAGGCGACGACGATACGGCAGTGAGCATGGCGAAGTTCGTACATCAGGCGTTGGTCCGTCGGGGAGTGGTCGCGAGGCTGATCGAGGGGGTGAAGATGCGTGGGCACCGAGCGTATCAGCGCGCGTGCATGGAAGAGGTCCGAAAGAAGGCTACGGAGCTTCCTGAGCATGATGCGCCGCCGGAGATTATGCGCATGGTGCCGCTGGACGATGCGCTGGACGAGATGCAGATGCAGAAAGCAGCGACGCCAGTTCCGCGCCCGGACGGCACGGGGGAAGCAGCGGGAGATCCTGGAAGCGACGAGAGGCAACTAAGTGGCCCTCGAGAAGAGCAGCTTCGATGAAGGAGATCTCAATGCCCAGCGCGTGGAAGCCTTGCGAAGTTTTGCACGGAGGATGTCGCCGGGATGCGAGCAAGACGGAACCAGCGAGCCCACGGAGGACAGCGGGGGCGAGTCGGAGCACCAAGAACGCAAAGAGAAGCGCGCGCGCAGGGGGGCCTGAAAATGAGCCCGATGTCGCACCGGCCAAAGAGAACGAAGAGGTGAGATTGGTGACGGAGGCGCTGGAAAGGAAAGAACGAGTGGATCGTTTGCGGGTGTGTACGGGGAACGCAATGATGGATCAATTCGAACCGCGGTATTTCGGCGTGGCGTTTGCGTTCGTTTTCAAGTATTGCACAGGCATGCCCGACATGCCATCGTTCTTGAAGCGTCCACG